GTCATGGCTTAGGCCTGTATTCCCAGCACCAGGGAGGCAGAGCTCAGCCAGCTACACAGGGAGTTTGAGACCAATTTGCACTACAAGAACCTGTCTTACAAGCCAAAATAAATTCAAAAAGTGATTGATCATATATTAAAGCAGGAGAAAAGGTTTGAAAGAGCCAAGTTCAGGGACATGGGTGGAGGGCACAATCCCAGGTGCTTGAAAATCCAGAACCTGACAGTTCCAGGCACACATTCCCAGGATGGCTGAACCGAGTGGTAGCTTCTCCCCTTAAACAAGGTATGAGATAGTCCATCAGGGCTCTTTCCTATCCCATTTCTACCCTTTCATGCATTAGCATTATGGTCACTTTACAGTTTCAGTTTAGGATTATAGAGTTTATCAATATATATTTAGTATAGACACGTAAGTGCCCATGTGTAAGTTCGATGTGCTTGGTTTCATCTAAATATATTTGTGGCATCATGTTCATAATAGGATTAATTCAGGATAGAAGCTGGTTTTCTCTGAAATAACGAACATATTTTTTTCCAGCTTGCCCTGAGATCTGTGAATTCCTCTCACTCAACATATGGCTGTGTCCTGTTCTCGTCTTTGTTTTTTCAACATTATCAATGGTCACCCTCAGCCATGATGAGTGATAATGGCATACCCATGAATTTAAATTGCAAATTGGCAATAAAGGTAAAAACAGTTGGTTTTTCTCTTATATGGGAGAAATACTCGTTTTTGTAGGACATAATAGCTGTACTGTATGTAATTATTCCAGTGCCATCTGTGAATACACAGACTTTTCATCTGTTGGGTTTTAAAAAGTTAATGGGACAGCCGTACTAAGTACGCGTTTAATGTGTACAATGTATTTGTGTTGCAGTCAATTCTGCCAATCTTTAGGTGTCTGAATTATCTTGAAAGAAGTGTAGAGAAGTGCAGAATAGTCGCCAGAACGGATAAATGCAGAGTCGTCTTTCAGTTCTTCTGCAGGCATGGTAGGTGCCCCGGAACCTGTGTGCTTCATAGCATTTTTTTTTTTTTTTTTGGTTTTTTGAGACAGGGTTTCTCTGCATAGCTTTGTGCCTTTCTCTGTAGCCCAGGCTGGCCTGGAACTCACAAAGATCCGCCTGCCTCTGCCTCCCGAGTGCTGGGATTAAAGGTGTGCCACCACTACTACTACTACTACTACTACTACCACCACCACCACCACCACCACCACCACCACCACCACCACCACCACCGCCGCCCGGCAGCTTCTTAGCATTTTCATGCATTCAGTATGCAGACTTACTGTGAGGTGAGGTAGGGACAAGTCTGGAGTGTGACAGCGGTGCCACCTGTCTGCTGTACTGTAAGGTGGCTGCCGCTCTTCCTTAGTACTTCACAGCACAAGCTGGTCTGCATGCAAAACAACGGAGATTTAAAAAATGTCCAGCTGGGGAGATGGGTCAGTCAGCCTTGCAAACACATGAATCTGAATTTGATCCCCAGAACCTATGTTTAAAAAAAAAAAAATCTAGCTGGGTGTTGGTGGTGCACACCTTTAGTCCCAGCATTGGGAGGCAGAGCCAGGCAGATCTCTGAGTTTGAGGCCAGCCTGGTCTACAGAGCGAGTTCCAGGATAGCCAGGGCTATACAGGGAGATTCTTGTCTCAAAAACAAAACAACAAAAATCTAGGTGTGATGACACATGCTTGTAGTTCGATGCTGCAGAGGCAGAAACAAGCAGACTCCTGGGGCTGGCCATCCAGGCAGCCCAGCCTGCTTGGTGAGCCTCAGACCAGTGAGAGGGGAGACGGTGAACAGGCCCTGAGGAATGATACCTGAGATCTGGTCTTACACACACACACACACACACACACACACACACACACGCACGCACGCACGCGCGCGCGCGCACGCGCGCGCGCACGACACAGAACCCCTACACAAATGTCCGATTGAGTTGTCTAAACTGGTTTTTCCAACTGGATGAGATGGCATACATTCTGAACTTAGGACTGAAGTGGCTGACGCAGTGGGATGAGATAGAGGCCCATGCAGCCGTATAGCTAGTTTCAGGCTCTCAGTTATAGTGAGATCTCATCACAGAAAAATGAATTCACAGCTGTAACATTGGCCCAAATCCTTTGTTCAGGAATGGTCTTAGGGAAGGTGATAAGACTATTAGAATCCCATTTTTTTTTTTATTTATTTACTTGTATTTTATGTACAACGCTGTTTTTGCACATGTATGTCTGTGGGAACTTGTTGGATCCTCTGGAACAGGAGTTACAGGCAGTTGTGAGCTGCCATGTGGGTGCTGGGAATTGAACCCGGGTCCTCTGGAAGAGTATCAAGTGCTCTTAACCGCTGAACCATCTCTCCAGCCCCTAGAATCCCATTTCTTAATTTTGACTTATACTCATCTTAATTATATAAATATAAATATATATATATTTTGTTAAAGATTTATTTATATATTATGTATACAGTGTCCTGCCTGCATGTATGCCTGCAGGCCAGAAGAGGGCATCAGATCTCATTACAGATGGTTGTGAACCACCATGTGGGTGCTGGGAATTGAACTCAGGACCTCTGGAAGAGCAGTCAGTGCTCTTAACCTCTGAGCCATCTCTCCAGCCCTTAATGATATATTTTTATTTCAGTGTGTATTTATACCCTTAAATTTTCTCTATAAATATGAATGGTGTAACATTACTTCCCTTCTTTGAATCTAAACCCATGTAATAGCACATCATATAAAGAGAGAACATCAAAGGGCAGCAGGGCTGAGTCACAGAACGCAGCTGTGGATTCCGTCCGCACCTCTGCCTGGCAGCTCTGTGGAAGAACACGAGCTCCCAGAGCCTTCCCTTTCTGCCGTGCCTACTGGGGGCAGCTTTGCCCTCTGCCACAGGCTGCTGTGAGGAGAAAGTCAGGTCCCACAGGGACAGGCCAGAGCCTGATGCAGAGTGAGTGCTCATCAGCCGTGACTATTAGTGCCTTCTCCTCCTCCCTCCCTTCCAGGTGAGTTTCCAGAAACCAGCTGTTTAGTATCTGAAGCGTCTCAAACATGGCTCTATTAGAGCTAGCTACTCCCAGGAAATATTCGCATACTGGGCTTAGTGGTGTGAGCCTATAGTCCCAGTACTTGAGGAAGTTAGAGGCAGGGGATCGGAAGTCCAAGGTCATTCTTAGCTACATAGCAAGTTCCAGGCCAGCCTGGAATTCCTGAGCCTCTGCTTAAAACACAAGCAAAAAATAAAAGGAGAATATTTGTGATTGATTCATTTAAGATGTTTTTATAGGATGGTTCTATTATACAGGATGCTCTAAGATACAAAGAACAGAAGTGGGGGAAATCAGCCAATTCCGCTCAGTAACATTGGCTCAGATGAAAGTTTGAAGTTGTGCTGTAGCCATCGTTCAGTCCAGGCTGCCCCAGCTGCTGCTGCTGCTGCTGGTTCTCATGTCTCCTCTTCCTCCCTTGTCTCCCCCGCTTATTTTCCTTCTTCCTCTTCCCTCCTCCTCCCTTTTCCTCCTCACCTTCTTCTTTGTCTTCTTCCTCATCCTCCTTCCTTTCCTTCCTTCCTTCCTTCTCCTCTTCATCTTTTTCTCTCAGCCTCCACAGAGTTTGATTCACAGCATACATATCAGCACCACCACAACAAAAACTTGTAACAGTGTCTTCCTCCAGCAGCAGGGACAGATGCTTCTTCCACACCAGGCATTTCCTAAACCTTTGCCTTGTACATCCCTTGACAAACAAGCATGACTTTGCTATGACCTCGACCAACCTGGACTCCACCTGGTAGCCAGGGGCTAGTGTTGGCATCCACTTGGCCAACTGCCATATCTGAGCCACATTCTACTGTACAGGTTTAGCTAGAGTCCTGGAGCTGGCAGGAGGGAGGACTCAGAGGAAGGGCCATGGGCCATGGATGATGCTCCAGTCTCGGGCTAGTTCTATCTAAAGCGGCCATGATTTGCAGATTATGCAACTTTATGCCAATCAGCTGGTGTAGAGACATTGTTCAAGTTCAGTTGAGAAATTCATCGGAGAAGATAGTCAGTTAGCTGCTGGAAATACAGATTGAAACTTGGGAGTGGGGGGATTTAAAGTTAGTAATGCAATTAAGCTCTGTTAGGAGAAAACAATTGCCCAGACATAGGACTAGTCCCCTTCACTGTGATCATCAACAGCCTCCAGGGCGGGCTTGCCAGACTTGTGCTGAGAGAGAAAAGACTGGTCCTCCTAAAGATTCAGCTCACCTGTTACTGCTTCTCCCAACCTTCTCGTTTCCTTTTGCACTGCCACAGAGTTGCTCAGCACGAGGTCTTCAGAGTGTCCCTGAAGAACTCGCTCTTCACCTAAGTTCTGTGCCAGCTAAGAGACAGGCCTACACAGAAAGGGGTTTCCGAAAGGAAGGGCTCAGTGGGTCCAGAGAAAGCGAAGTCCTGATTCAGGCACACGCATTCTTCAAAGTGGAGGCTGGAGTCTTTAGGTTTTTTTTTTTTTTAATTTATTTATTTATTATGTATACAGAAGAGGGTGCCAGATCTCATTACAGATGTTTGTAAGCCACCATGTGGGTGCTGGGAATTGAACTCAGGACCTCTGGAAGAACAGTCGGTGCTCTTAACCTCTGAGCCATCTCTCCAGCCCGTCTTTAGGTTTTTGTTGCAAGGTAGCCTGCAGGTCTGCTAATGACCTCAACTTGGTTCAAAAGCCCTATCTAACTGAGCACCTTTGAAGGTGTCGCTGCCTTTGAAAGCGCAAGCTCCACAGTAGAGCAGCTGTGCGGTAATGCTGGCTCCTCCTCAAGTCAACTGTTGGAGCGTCTCCGAGCCACTGAGAGAAGGGCTGAACTGCACATAGGTGATTACTGTTCTTTTTCTTTTCCTCTTCTTCCTCCTTCTTCCTCTTCTTCTTTTTCCTCCCCCTCCTCTCTCTCTCTCTCTCTCTCTCTCTCTCTCTCTCTCTCTCTCTCTCTCTTTTGAGACAGGGTTTCTCTGTGCAGCTCTAGCTGTCCTGGAACTCTCTCTGTAGACCAGGCTGGCCTTAAACTCAGAGATCCACCTGGCTCTGCCTCCCCAGTGCTGGGATTAAAGCCGTGCACCACCACACTGGCTCACATCGGTGATTTCTAAAGCATACCTCCTGATAACTGTAGCAGCTGCTTCCATGGAGGGTTCCTTCCTGGTTCCCACCATGTATACCTCAGCATACATGACACAACTATTTCTATGGCAGAGGAGATTTATCAACTTTGGAGCTTAGTGTTTTCCCAAAATAGCAGCCCCAGTGCTGAACCCCATTCTTTAAAATGGGTCAGATGAGGCCGGGCGTGGTGGTCTGTCTTTAATGCCAGCTCTTGGGAGGCAGAGGCATTAGAGCTCTGTGAGTCAAAAATCTCCAGGCAGGGAGCTCTGGGGGTCAGCCTAGTCTACATAATGAACCCCAGTTCCAGGCCAGTCAGGGCTCACACTACTGAGTGGAGTGGTGGGACAGTGGAACACACACCGGTAAGCCTAGTCCTCAAGAGGATCTTCAGTTTGAGGCTAGCCTGGCCTCCGAATGAGTACCAGGAAAGCCAAGGCTACACATCAAAATCCTGTCACACACACACACAAAGAGCCAGATGGTGAGTATATCATTCCAGTTCAAAACTCTGAAATATCTTATTTTAGCCAGAGAAAAGCCAGTGACCTTCAAATGGCCTATACTGTTGTCCAGGGACCAAGAGCGCTGGAATGTTTCCTAGGATGAGTGTTCAGCTCCACACAGCCTATTGTTTTTTTTTTGTTTTTTTTTTTTTTTTTTT